GCAAGAGACCCCACACCATTCCAGACAAGTGGCTGTCCAGTCTCTTCTTAAAATCCTCCAGTGATGGAGCACCCACAACTTCTGGGAGGCAAGCCATTTCATTAGTTAATTGTTCTCACTCTCAAGAGATTTCTCCTTACTTCTAGATTGCTTCTCTCCTTGATTAGTTTCCACCCGTTGTTTCTTGTCCTGCCTTCTGGTGCTTTGGAGGATAGGTTAACAAGATTAAGGACAGATACTCTATGCAGTCATTAGGAGGAAAAAATCAACTCAATGGCACATAATAAATCATATTCACACAACAAGCTAAGTCATGTTTTAATAGACCACAAGAAAGGATTGACTACACATGCCAACCTAACGCTAAATTAACCATTGCATTTCCTTTAGTTTAGCTTCTCCCAGTAAGAAGCATCTGGGCTAAGGAGCTAATAAGCAAGGTCATTTTACATCAGGGGTCTCCAACCTTGGCAACTTTAAGACAAAACTGGCTGAGGAATTCTGGGAGTTGAAGTCCACAAGTCTTAAAGTTGCCAAGGTTGGAGACCCCTGTTTTAGATAACCCTCATTGAGAAGACTTTAAGGAAATCCCAGGATCATGTACAGCAGATTAAGTTGGGAAGTAGAATTTTTTTTTTTTACAAAAAAAAAAAATTCCATACTGCTGCCATGACATCACTAGGGATCGACTTTAACTCAAAAGATGGAGATTATTTTTTTTTTTAAAGGTGTGACAGTCATATTTCCTCAAGTCAGACCCAAGAGAGGGCGGCTGCCTCATAATTTCAGAGTAGAATTCCACTGCGTACAATTGCAGTTTTAGAAACTTCATTTGCAAAAATCGTAGGGGCTTAAATCTTTTATTTATTAATTTATCTGAAGCCTGAAGATTTAAGACCGTGCCGTTAAGAAGCAACAAGAGAGAGTCACAGGAGTAGGCAACCCAGAGAATTTTAAATGACTGTCTGCATGTAGTTAGCTGTATAATTAGCCACATAACTCAAGCGTGCAACCCTTGTCCGACTGACTTTGCTACACTTAAGCGAAACGTTTCGGGCGTAAGACATCTATCATCCCTTATCAGGAAAACAGGCTTGGGAATTGCAGCAGCAGAACTAACTATTAATTCTTTGAAAAGCAATTTTCAAACCACATTTTAATGTGCTATTTACAGAAGGTTCCCTCCGTAACACTTGATGAACCCCGGGGTTGCAAACCTTCTGCTCGTTACTTCAAGCGAGGCCCAAAAATATGGAAATCAACTCCCAGTCGTACAAGATAGCTTTGAAATCAACGGTGCAGGTGTACCAGAAATGGGACATCGTCAACTGAGTGGCAGGAACAAACAACTCCCTGAAACAGTCTAAATGTGCAGTGTGAAAGTCCCAAATAATTCCTCCTTGGTTCACCCAAAGGGGGGGGGGGGAGACTTCCAGCGTTTCCTCAAAGGTGCTTTTTCTAAAAAAAAGCAACTGGACTGTTTTTTCCATTTCGCTTCTCATCCAAAGAGCTTTGTCAGTTCTGGCAGGATGATGGGGATGATGGAAGGATTAGTTCTGACAGGATGGGGGTGGGGTGTGGGACAGAGGTGGGTTTCAGCAGGTTCTGACCAGTTCTGGAGAGCCGGTAGCGGAAATTTTGAGTAGTTTGGAGAACCGGTAGTAAAAATTCTGACTGGCCCCGCCCCCATCTATTCTCTGCCTCCTGAGTCCCAGCTGATTGGGAGGGAATGGGGATTTTGCAGTAACCCTCCCCTGCCACGTCCACCAAGCTACGCCCACCAAGCCACACCCACAGAACCGGTAGTAAAAAGTTTTGAAACCCACCACTGGTGTGGGATATTTCTTTGCAGTCATCTGGTCGTTAGTACTCTCTCTGAGAGCTCTTGAAGCCACTTGGGGGTTTATCTGTGCCCTCATGGCCCCTGAATCAGAGTGCATCACTCCAGATTGAGCCCAATGAGGAGCAGGTTCCAGGCTATCAGGATCTGCATCTGATGGCACTGGAGTTTCACCTAAGCCTTGGTGGCGCAGCAGACTAATGCACTGTTAAAGTAACACCAGCTGTTCAAATCTCACCAGGCTCAAGGTTGACTCAGCTTTCCATCCTTTCGAGGTAGGTAAAATGAGGACCCGGTTTGTGGGGGCAATAAGCTGACTTTGTATAAAAAAGAACACCGCTTAGGGGGGTCCGAAAGCCCTACTAAGCAGGTATATACAAAAGTATGAAGGCTATTGCTTAACGCATCGTAAGCCACCCTGAGTCTCCAGAGAAGGGCGGCATATAAATCGAACCAATAAATAAATAAATAAATAAATAAATAAATAAACAAACAAACAAACAAACAAACAAACAAACAAACAAACAAATAAATAAATAAATAAGCATTTGAGAAGTAGGGGGTGTTGACTCTTAGTGACCACATAGATTTTCTCCATGATCTGCCCCCAACCTCTCTGTGGAGATTCTCAGTCAGCCAGATTACAGTTGTCTCAAAGATGCTTTTTCAAAAGGCAACTGGGTTTTTCTTTACAACTGCAGTTGCGACTTTATAAGTTTTCTCTGGCTCAACCGCCATTATTACGGCTCCTCCTGTTTTTACTCAGGTCTGTTGTTATGTTTTCAACGTCTGTTTTCACAAATGACCACTTTTCATTTTATATCGATGAATGTTAAAATATTTCACCCTAAAATATTTTATTTGGATTGACCGTAGATCAGCCATAGATGCCTGTTGCTCTCAGGCAAAAAAATAAAATAAGTCAAAAGTCAGATACCACCTTTTTGAAAGCTTTTGCTTTGAATAAAATTTATTTCTGAAGAAACTGCACAGGCAGAATGTATAGAGCCGTGATGGCAAACCTTTTAGAGACCGTGTGCCCAAACTGCAACCCAAAACCCACTTATTTATCGCAAAGTGCCAACAATTTAACCTGAATAATGAGGTTTTACTACCTAAAATAACGATAAGCAAGGCAGAGTTCAGCTAATTGTTCTTCTAAGAAAACGTGATAAATGCACTTTTATGCCCCTTCATTTTTTTTCTGCTTTTGAAATATTACGTTTAGCAACAATTATCATTTCTCTCTTTCCCTCCCTCTCTCTCTTTCCCTCCCCCCTCTCTTTCTCTCTGTCTCTTCCCTCCCTCTCTCTTTCTTTCTCTCTCTTTCCCTCCCCCCTCTCTTTCTCTCTGTCTCTTTCCCTCCCTCTCTCTCTTTCCCCCTCTCTCTTTCTCTTTCTCTCTTTCCCTCCCTCTCTCTTTCTTTCTCTCTCTCTTTCCCTCCCCCCCTTTCTCTCTGTCTCTTCCCCTCCCTCTCTCTCTTCCTCTTTCCCCCTTGCGGGAGAAACGCGATGGAGCTGGGCTGAGGCGACAGCGCACATGCCCATAGAGAGGCCACCTCTGAGTGCCACCTCTGGCCCGCATGCCATAGGTTCGCTACCACTGGACTAGACAGTCACTTATCTGAAATGGTAAGAGGTTCTCCTGCTTGAGCAGGACTAAAAGACTTTCATTGCACTTTCAACTCTGCTTTATTCTGCAGTAGCCCCTCCTCTGGGGAATATCCCTCCCCCCCACCCCCCTCAGGAGAGCAGAATGACCCCAACCCTCTTAGTCTTTCGTAAAGCTTTAAAAACCTGGCTGTGTTCCCAGGCCTGAATGGGTACTGAATGGGCCCCTTGCCTGGCTTTCTTGTCAAATATCTTCGCCGCTGTGTATACTTATTGGGGATTTTTAAAATTGTTTTACAATATTTCTTATTGTTTTAATTGTGGTATATATTTTTTGAATTGTAAGATGCCCAGAACCATTTATTGAAATAGGCAGCTGTAGAAATTGGAGGGAGGGAGGGACGGAGGGAGAAATGGAGATAGATGATAAATAGATTAGATAGGGATAGATAGATAGATAGATAGATAGATAGATAGATAGATAGATGATTAGATAAAGATAGATTAGACAGACAGACAGACAGACAAAAAGACATGCAGACAGATTTGGTGAAAATTGGAAATGGTGTTACTAGATTCCTGATTGGCTAACTGAGGACTAACCCAGCTCTCCTCCTATAATGTTATTGGGCAGCATCAAAACACTACTACTACTACTACTACTACTACTACTACTACTACTACTACTACTACTTATTATTATTATTATCTTTATTCATTAAATATGAAACTCAAGTCAACTGAACATTCAAAAATGCATCACAGATACCATTGACTGGTGCTAATGGTTGATGCGGGTTGCTGCCAGCCTCCTAGGGATCAACCAAGTACCTTCTTAAGATGTACGATGTTCCGAGTAGCGCAGTTTTTTGCAGTTCCGCTGGTGTCATTGTAGGAAGCTGCAATTTGCTGATGTATCTTATAAAATTCTTGGACATAATACCAAGTGCACCGATGACAATGGGTATCACTGTTACATGTTTCATCATCATCATCATCATCATCATTATTATTATTATTATTATTATTATTATTATTATTATTATTATCATCTTTATTCATTAAATATGAAACTCAGTCAACTGAACATTCAAAAATGCATCACAAATACCATTGACTGGTGCTAATGGTTGATAAGGGTTGCTGCCAGCGTCCTAGGTATCAACCCAGTACCTTCTTAAGATGTACGATGTTCCAAGTAGCGCAGTTTTTTGCAATTCCGCTGGTGTTATTGCAGGAAGCTGCAATTTGCTGATGTATCTTATAAAATTCTTGGACATGGTACCAAGTGCCCCGATGACAATGGGTATCACTGTTACATGTTTCTTCTTCATCATCATCATCATCATTATCATATGATGAGAATGTGACAGAAGAGCATAACTGATCAATCAATATCCTATAATTCTCTCAGGTTTTGCCACTGGCCAGCCTGTTTTTCCTGCTTGCTTAAATTCTAATCTCAACATTTGTCAGCCACGCCACAGCTGCATGCAGGATGCAACGCCAGAGATAGTTCAGCAGAAAAATAGCAAATAGCCTCTACGTACGGATACAGAAGTCCCCGCTCTCGTAATATCCCGGGCAGCACTGAGACCGTCGCCGATACATCGTCCTCAGTCCCCTCCGATAGGCCGTTTTATAACTGATTCTAAATGGTGAGAGAGGAAGGGGGGGGGAACCCTGGAAATCAATGCCCATAGTTATAATTCTATTTGCGTTACATTACTGCAAGGTTCTTATGTTCAATATTTGCTTCAGAATGTGCAAAGATTTTTTATATTTAAAAAGATCGATACAAATTCCAACTCCTACTCATTTGACTGTATCCTAAGCCATTTTCATGCTAGGTCCAAGAGAAGATTTGGGCAAGCAAGATACAGAAAGGGCAAGAAAAGGGAAATTGTGTGTGTCTGTGTAAATCTTTTGCTTATCCCTGGTTATAGTTCTTATAAACAACCGGTTCTCAGTAATAAACAGCAGTTTGAGATATTAAACATGCAGAGTTACTCAATAGTGAGATAGGCAGCATATAAATTTAATTAATAAATAAAATAAAAATAAATATTGCAGAAAATACAATTCCTTGCACTAATACATTTTTTTTTTGGCTACCTGGCTCAAACATGGCACTTATTAGACTGTTCCCTGTTCCCTTATTCCCCACCCGCTGAGAAGCGGATATGTTTCATACAACCACCACACATATGAATATCTAAGTTGGGCATTTATTCACTCTTTCCAGAGTCTCAACATCTTTTTTATAATATGATCTTTTTTTACAATATAATATGTTGACCAAAACTGGATGCAGTATACTAAGTGTGGTCTTACTAAGGCTTTGCAAAGTGGTATTAACTCTTCATGTGATTCTATTCCCTTTTTTAATACAACCTGGGATTGTATTGGCTTTTTTGGATGCTGCCACATACTGCTGGCTCATATTTAAGTGACCGTAAGTAAGTACTTTTGGTTTTTCTTGCCTAAGTGTTAAAAACTTATTTTTCTCACTGTTGAATTTCATTTTGCTAGATAGGGCCCATTTCTCAGGTATTTCCAGTTCCAAGAGCAGTGTCTCCCCCACCAATTCCAAAATTCAGAAGGACCTGATCCTTATCCAGATTCAATGCCTTCCCAACAGATGTTACTGAAGGGAAAAATACCAAAACACCACTTGGAGAGGGCTGTAAAAGCACTGTGAAGCGGTATATAAGTCTAAATGGTATTGCTATTGCTTCAGACTGAGGTTATGTCCGTGAAGAGGAAGGAAGGAAGGAAGGAAGGAAGGAAGGAAGGAAGGAAGGAAGGAGAGGGAAGAAGGAGAGGGAGGGAGGGAGGGAGGGAGGGAGGGAGGAAGGGAGGAAGGAAGGAAGGAAGGAAGGAAAGGAAGAAGGAGTAGGAAGAAGGAGAGGGAGGGAGGGGGGAGGAAGAGAGGAAGGAAGGAAGGAAGGAAGGAAGGAAGGAAGGAAGGAAGGAAGGAAGGAAGGAAGGAAGGAAGGAAGGATGGTCTCCAAGTGGTGACTAAGGCCCATTCTCACCTCTGGAGCTCTTGAAAAGTAACCCAAGACTAGCTTATCAACATTTGGTCCAAGTATAGCAGCTTTGATTTAAAAGTGGGGAAATCCGAATAGTAATTGGAGCACAAGACTCTGCGGTAAAAAGTTGTCAAACTCTCCAAAACTGTTTCAGAAATGGACAAAACATTTTCACCCCCTCTTCCTCATTCCAAAGCTTCAGCTGACAGTCTCCTGCAGTGGACTGGTGCAATTTGTATACACCAATATAATGACCGCCATGAACTTGTTGGGGCATCATCTCTACAGAGAAACGATTGGACTTCATGATCCGCAGAATCAACAACACACACCAAGAATTTGTTCATACTTGCTTTGGAGAAAATCTGGCCTAATTTAAATCTGCTTTTAGAACTTTTCCAGGTGTTTCCAGGTATTTCTCAACCATGATGCATTTTTCAAACGTGTCTCAAACTTGACGTGTGAAACTCAAGGTAAATGAACTTCCATTCTTGAAGTGTGGCTGGGGAATTCTGGGAGTCGAAGTCCACACACATCCTTTAAGTTGCTATGGCTGAGAAAAACAGGTTTAGCTAGTTTGTTTTCAACAGCAAAAAGACAAAAGAAGGAAGCAACAAGCAAAATGACAGCCCCTCGCCCCTTCCTCATTGCTTCCAACTTGACTGCAAATGCAACCCTGAAAGCAAATGTATCGCAAATGGGCAGTGCTGGTTAGTCATCCTTTTACAAAAGCTGTGGCTATTTTCTCCAGGGAAAAAAAAAGGGAAAATCAATTTAGTGCTGCCGGACTATTCTGCACAAAAGAAGCTATCGTTATCCTCCGTAGGTGAAGAGCTTCTCCCAGGCTCCGAAGAAAAGGGAGCTATCCAGAGGAGATGAAAGGGAAGATGAGGTTTGAAAATACCTTCCAATTATCGCTTACCTGTGTCGAGTGCATTTAAACCAGTTGAGAATATCTGTGCATCTTGTATAATAGATCTGATCGAAGGGATGTGCGTATGATTCCTGAACAGTCACGGCGTAGCTAGAAGGGAAGAGACAGCAAAAACGTTGAGCTGGGCCCCTCTTTATTTAGCCGTTCACAGCCCAGATCCAAACACAAATCCTTGGGCCAAGTTTGATAAACAAATACTTAAGTCGATAAAAAGAGAATACAGGTAATCAATGGCTTACAATCGCAATGGAGTCCGGAATTTCTGTCGGTAAACAAGACGTTTTACTATCTTTCTTGCCAGAGTCATTAAGCGAATTGCTACAATTGTTAAGTTAGTCACATGGTTGTTAAGTGAATCTGGCTTCGCAAGATTCTTGTTAGGAATTTTTACAAACCATATTCCAAAGAAATAAAATTTTGGTGCTACACATCTTAACAGCAGCACGAATAGCATATGCAAAAAAATTGGAACCAGGAAAGAACTCCAACGGAGGAAGAATTGATAGATAAGATTTTAGAATGCGCTGAGATGGACAGATTAATAAAGGAAATTAAGAAAAAAGAAGAGACAGACTATTATAGAGTATGGAATAAATGGTATAATTGGTTTAAGATTAGAAATAAAGAATAATAACTATAAGGAGAGAAGATTAGAAGTACAATATATATATATATCAAATGTATGGAGTGGAATAAAAATGTATATAACATGAATGTAGAAATGTATAATATTAAAGATATAATTGAAATATATAGATGTCTATAGGGGGAAGGAAAAAAAGGATAATTGGGGAAAAAGAAGAAGTAAGAAATGAAGACATAGAGGAAGACAAACAAAGTAACAGATGGAAGACCACAATGAAACAATGCTTAAAAATGATAAGATATCTATATGTTATATGTTGTGTAAATGTCATATATGTGTTATAATAAAATTACAAATTAAAAAAAAAGTGAATCTGGCTTCCTCCTTTGACTTTTGCTTGTCAGAAGGTCGCAAAAGGGGAATGTGTGACCCCGGGACACTGCAACCAAATACATGTCAGTTGCAGGGGGAGGGGGTTATGGGCAAGAGTGTGAGTGACAGGCAAGTGTACGTACTCAGCTCTATTTGTGGAGGTGCCATGCACACAACCACACCGCTTGTGCAAATGGAGCACATGCGCACGGGCTCGTCCACTGCTCACCTATTGTTTGTCCGCTACTCACGCAAGTGGGAATGTGCACACGCCTGCCACTTCCGCAGCCCAACACAATTCTGAACAGCTCAAAGCTTGGTACCCTGTTTCCCCAAAAATAAGACCTCCCCTGATAATAAGCCCAATCGGGCTTTTAAGTGCATGCGCTAAAATAAGCCTCCCCCCCCTGAAAATAAGCACTTCCCAAAAATATTTAAACACAGAGCTGGAAATCAGGGAAGACAGCCAATGGAGCCCCATCTTGCTCCACGTGCCCCAAAATAATAAGACCTCCCCGAAAATAAGGCCAAGAGCTTATTTCGGGGTTCAAAAAAATATAAGACAGGGTCTTATTTTTGGGGAAACATGGTAGTGGGCTACAGCCTGGGGGTCGGGGACCTTTGGTGTATATTGTGTGGGATTCCACATCTTTTCCACCTGGAGTGATAGAACCTTTAAATGAGGGGTCCTTAGTGCTCTCTGAGCTTGCTTATTTTCTTGCAGGCGTTTCAATCCCCAAACGAGGTAACACCATCAGTGTTGTAGGGAGTGGGGTTTGCTTTCAGTTTATATTCTAGTGCCATGATGGCGAACCTATGGCACGCGTGCCACCGAGCTGTATCTGTGGGCACGCGAGCGTTGCTGTACCTCAGCTCTAGCACGTATGCGTGCGCTGGCCACCTGATTTTCGGCCCTTCCGGGCTCACTGGAACTCAGGAAACGGGCTGTTTCCAGTCTCCGGGGGTGTGGGGAAGGCAGTTTTTGCCCTAGCCAGGCTCCTAAAAAGCCTCTGGAGCCTGGGGAGGGCAAAAAATGGGCCTTCCGGGTCCACTGGAAGTCAGGAAATGGGCCGTTTCTGACCTCCAGAGGGCCTCTGGGGGGGGGGGAACCGTTTTCGCCCTCCCTACGCTCCAAGAAAGCCTCTGGAGCCTGGGGAGGGTGAAAAATGGGCCTACCAGGCCCACCATGCCATCACGTGCTAAAAGCGGGGGGAGTGCGGGGGGATCACACATGCATATGCGGGGGGCGGGGTGCATTGAATTATGGGTGTGGGCACACAGGCGCACAAACCCCCTATGCTCCCCCTGCTTTTGGCACGCAACGGCAAAAAGGTTAGCCATCACTGTTCTAGTGTCTTGTCCTGTCTAATACCTTGCCCCAAGAAATTGCCAAAGAAGCCAAAGAATCTCTAAAACCACCGCACCAACACTGGCAGGGCAAGACACTAGAACATAAACTGAGAGCAAACCCCATTCCTTACCAGCACTGATGACATTACCTAGTTGGGTAATGAAATGTCTACAAGAAAATCACCAAGCTCAGAGAGCACCAAGGACCCCTCATTTCAACCGTACAAATATTCTCCTGTATTAGAATCTTTGAAATATATACATACCTTATATCAACTTTAGACTTCACGCTGCAAACAAAATTTCATTTCATGGCAACCCTGAGCTACAAAGCTTCTGCTTTATAATTTAATTAGGGGCAGATGAAAATGTCAATTTTAGTTTCTCTGTTTCCCGCTTCTATGAATCTTTCATATTCAGTGTTTCCCACTTTTGCAGGAGTGCTGAGCTTGGCTTCTCAGATTAAAAAGCAACAACTGCACTATCGGTATGCATTTCAGTACTTTTCTCCAAACATGCCTTTTTCTTTCTAAATTTGTTGATAGATTTATTACAAGTATTTCCATGTCACTTTACTCCAAAATGTGTCCAGGTTTAATTAAACACCATACACATTTGCAAACCGCTTCACCTAAATAGAACATATTTTGTCCTACATCTTCATGAATATGTCTCTTTCTGTGCAGATTAGTTCCTAATGATTTTTTTAAAATTAGTAAATTGCAGTATAAGCTTTGGGAAGTGGGAACAGTTTTTTATAGTTGTTTTATGTCATTGCAGGTGAACAGCTGTGTTAAGTCTTTAGCACCAAAACTCAAAATGATTTGGGTAGCACTTTTTCTAACCAACCCATTTTAATCATCCTAAATGAAAATTAATAAAATGTGTTAGTTGGAAAAGATACCCCCACACTTTTTCTGATTTTTTAAAAATTTTGTATTGGTTCAAAATTGCTAATGGATTTTGATCAGAAGATAAGACTTATTCTGGAGACTGAAACTATTAGTTAATTAAACAACAGTTGATGAGATGGTATCAAGAAACAATAATGGATATTTGATCCAGGATGGACTTTTTGGGATGACTTGGAATAGATAAGACGCCGTGGTAAATTTTCTACAAGTGGATTACAGTAAGTGTTAACAGAGAGTTTTGAAACTTTAATTTTGTTTTGTTTTAGTATTATTATTCTTCCTGTTAACTACTTTGTTACTAACGTAACTTATAGAAGACAGGTCAGTAATTTGCAAATACATTTAGTAGTTTACAGTGATCTGTCACTATTGTTGTATGTACACTGAGAGCTTATGTACTGGAGACAAATTCCTTGTGTGTCTAATCACACTTGGCCAATAAAGAATTCTGTCCTGTCCTGTCCTGTCCTGTCCTGTCCTGTCCTGTCCTGTCCTGTCCTGTCCTGTCCTATTCTATTCTATTCTATTCTATTCTATTCTATTCTATTCTACTCTACTCTACTCTACTCTACTCTACCCTACCCTACTCTACCCTACCCTACCCTACCCTACCCTACCCTACTCTGCTCTACTCTATTCTATTCTATATCAGTGGAACAGTTTGCTTCTTGGAATTGTGGCTGTTCCATTGCTGAAGGTTTTTAAGAAGAGTTTGGACAACCATTTGTCTGACATGGTAGATGGTATCCTGCTTGAGTAGGGGGTCAACTAGAAGACTCCAAAGTCCCTTCCATGTTTCATGTTCTATGATCAATGCTAGGGAAAACTAGTTCGTTTCAAAAATCACCTCTAAAAGTAGAGCCACAGTAGTACAAATGGAATTAAATTGCTGTTCATTAAATATCCCCAAACAGATAATTATAAAATTATGAGTAATTTGAGTACCTCTCATTGTTACAAATACTTTGATAAATCCCTATCTCTTACGTTAATACACAAAAATACATACATTCAAAACTATAAAACAAGCTATGTTCTTAACTAATTGCCACACAAATTGGGATTAGTGATCAGAAATTAAACATCTGAGGGTTTTCCTTCCTAAGATACATTTCTACAGGCTTCCCAAATGGTAGATTTCAGATTTTAGTATGAGATTCTCACGTTCCAGTTTTGAGCCAATTAATGAATTAAAATTAATTCTTCCAAATTACACTTCAATGCAAAAAAAAAAAAAATGTTGAGAAAAGAAAGGTCTGCATTAAAGTGCATATATTTGCAAAAAAATAATTCCAAACATGTAATTTATATTGGGCAGAATTACTTGCAAAACTATGTACCTTAGGCAAATATGTAAACCAAAATGCAAATGTGTCAAAAATGTACAAAAATACACTTGCATTTTAAAGTGATGTTTAATAGGCATGCAAAGTAGGTGAATAAAACTTAGAGGGTAAAAATAAAAAATAAAACAATAGCCATATTTTGAATGGACAATTTCATTCTTGGTTTTTTTTTATTTCTAAGTCCCTTAAAGATTCTTTCTTGTAAGAAGCAACATACAAGTAATTTCAAGAAATAAACAGTAAACAGAAAGAAGCTGAAAACAATACTTTTGCCAAAAAAGTGAAACAGAAAAACTAAATGTACAATGTCTCAAAATATGAGAAACTAGGAGAACTTTTTTAAAAAAACCCAGACACAGATTTGCTCCTCCTGTGTAGTGAATCTGGAGCAAATGTCTCCACAATATGGAACAAAAAAAGAGGTCAGAAGATACAGGAAAGGAACTTTGGAGAAAAAAATTAAAAGGTAGAAAAAAATACAAATGAAATTAAATGCCATCAAAATATGTATTTTTTTGCACA